GAGAGAGAGAGAGAGAGAGAGAGAGAGAGAGAGAGAGAGAGAGAGAACATGTGCTGAGTGTGAGTGACTGGCTGGCCGGACACGTGCGGGATAGCCGGCTGCCTGCTGGGCACTGCGGGGGGCACGCGGGTCCCTTTGTACGGCACAATGCCCTGCCCGCCACTGGGCTGCGCGCTCGGCTCGGCGCGGCCGCGCGGCGTGGCGTGGAGTGGAGCTTCCAATCTCAACCCGGACGGAAAACGGAGCGAGGGAGAGAGACAGAGAATGATCCAGAGAGGGGAAAAAAAGGGAGAGGGCGGCGGGGCGTGAGAGAGGGAGCGACAGAGACGGATGAATAAGGAATAATAACGACCGTCACCGCGCCGTGCACAGCGCACTACTCTCGCTCCGGCCGCCGCCGCCTATTTAGGTCGCGTCCTCGCCGTCGCAGGCAGCGCGTCGTGGGAAGCATAGGCGGTGCGAGTGAGAGGCGAGCCGCGACCCCTGCCACGGCTCCACCCGCCGCAAAAAGGGAATGTGAATTAATGACGCTGGACCACCCTCTGCTGTCCTCTCCTCGAAAGGTCCCGAGCAGCACCGTGCGATCTTTGTGATCGGCCGAAACTAATCCATGACCAAACAAACCGCGCGCGCATATATAAAAAGTACTCTTGATAATTATCCGTAATTATTTTTTTAATCAACTCAAAACATATTTGCATCCCGCAACATCCCGACCCGCTATCTGTTAGTATTAAAGTATACACGCTGAAAAGATGTGGATGAGAAAATTTGCTGCATCAAAGGTAGAATGTGCTGTGCGCGGTCTGTTCGCCGGTGGTACTGGCTCGTTCAGTCCGTCAAAGAGGTGTCTCAAGGGAACATCGTGGGAGGAGCAAGAAAGACGAGGGTGGCCGTCATGTAGCGTCACACCAGGCCACCTGGGATGGGTGGCGAAGGAGGAGGAGAAGGAAAAGGGGAAGGAGGAGTGTACCATGATGAAGCAGCCCGTCCGTCCTCTCGCCCTGGCGAATAAACGAGAGTGCACTCACACTCACACACGCGAAATTGCCTACAGTCTGCTCAACACACACACACACACACACACACAAACACACACACACACACACACACACACACACACACACACACTCACACAACGCCAGGTGTGCTCACCTGTCAGGCCCGGAGAGACTATGACGGCGTGCGAGTGCATCGAAGCCTGACATCCGGCTGGGAGCCGTTAAAAGCACACACACACACACACACACACACAGACTGCAGTATCCTCGTCGCGTCGCAATATCCTGATCTTTCCACCACCCCTCTTTCTGTGTCTCTGTCAGGTGCTGACGGGCGCCGCCACCTGCTTCTACGCCTTCATCGGCTTCGACATCATCGCGACGACGGGCGAGGAGTCCAACAACCCCAAGAAGTCCATTCCGCTCGCCATCGTCGGCTCGCTTGCCATCATCCTCGTCGCCTACGTCACCTCCTCCCTCATGCTCACGCTCGTCGGTACGTATTGCACACTGCCCGCGCTTTAAGAAACGTGAACATGACGGTTTTTTGTTTTCTGCAGGGCGCTCACACCCTTCACATACTTCACTCTAAATTCAAACGTACGCCTATGTTTCTTTTTCGATTGTTCTTGATTTTCCTGATTTTTTCAATTCCTCCTGGGTTTTTTCTGATTTTTTAAATTGATTTTGATTTTTCATTTTTTTACTTCAGGGTTACATTGATGTTTCTCTTTTCGGGGGGGGGGGGGTGAAGTTGTACCCGCGGTTGTACCCCTCGCCCCCGCCGCTCACGCTCGCTCATGCGGCTCGTTTCGTTCCAGTGCCATACGACCAGGTGGACAAGGACTCGGCGCTCGTTGAGATGTGGAGCTACGTGGGCGCTAACAAGTGCAAGTACGTGGTGGCGGTGGGCGCGCTGGCCGGCCTCTCCGTCTCCATGTTCGGCTCCATGTTCCCCATGCCGAGGATAGTGTACGCCATGGCGCAGGACGGCCTCATCTTCAAGTGAGTATATAACAGTAGGTCGGCCTGCTTCTGCGACCCCGACATCTAGCGCTCTCTTAGATCAACGACTGACTGGTCCGGGTACGGTTGGGCTCGGTTGGCCTGGACCGCCGGGGTCAACCTTACACGAGTTCCTGGGCCGGGTACGGCTGTACTTAGCCGCCGCGGGTAACCTTACCCGACCCGAAGTCCTACGACGGCGCGACCAAGAAAATAAAGGAGAAAAAGATGTTTAGAAAATAAAGCAGAGGGGGTAGGTGGGGCAGGACCGTTACAAAAGCGCTGGGCAGGGGTGAGGGAGGCGGGGGG